AAACCTGAAACAAAACTTCCTAATAAAGGAAGAATTATTCACCGCAAATGGACTTCAAGTATTACACTGATGGTGAAACGGTATCATGCTTGCCTTCCAAGCAAGCGGCGTGGGTTCGACTCCCGCTCAGTGTACGATGGACACTGTCTGTTTTGCCCTCTTCTTCAAAAGAGGGCTTGTCAACTTCATATTCAAGATTTGGGCAATTACTTGTAAGGTTGACCCGGTGCACAACCTATGACATCACGTGCTGAAAATGTCACGCTTTGGCGGGGAAAAGCCTGAAATTCGTATAGGCTCGACGACGGGAGCAAAATCGAAAAATTGAGAACCAGAGAGCTGTAGCGAGTACACTTCTCTTTGGTTCTCTGGTTTTAGATTTTTGAATCTGGGGAAGGGGACTGAGCCTATACAAGAATACGCCTCAGGTCCCCAGCTAAATCATCGCTGAGCGCCGACCGGAGAGTCACGCCTTGGCGGAGGGCACGTGCCGAATAACGCTGTGACATAGTAGTAGGTTGTGCACCGGGCCAATCTTAGAGGTGTGGTGTTTTCACAGCCTTCGTCTCAACGTGTTGGGTAGAGAGTACTATGTGGTCGCCAGTATGATGATTTGTGTCCATCGATGGTTTGTATCCATCGATGGTTTGTATCCATCGATGGTGCCTACATACATAAGAAGATAATCGTGCGGTACGTTTGAAAGCGAGCGAGCTTACGGCCTGTTGCTTCAACTGGCACCATGTCTCTTTTACCTTGAGCCTTGCCACCAGCTCTACCGTCACAACGGTGTCTCCCAGACTCTTCTGCGCTGTTGCAAGGCCCCCGTCCCGTGTCCAATTGGTCGACATTTGTTGTCTTGGTGTGCTGGTAGTCTTGCTTCAGGTCGCCTCAAGGACCTGTGATTTTGGAGCATCTTATCCACACTGCTGTCAGTGGTATATCAGTGGTACTTCTTGCAGGCCTTATCCCATCTGGTGGAGAGCGAACCAGGAAGCAAGAGTGACCGTCTAGGCCACTCATGACCGTTCTCTGACCATGCCTTCCGTGTTCAGACTTCGCCTGCCTTTGGCGGGTCGAGATAGGTTCGCGCGAACTGCGATAGGTGCGACTTACACGAACGTTACTGGATGTTGCGACCCGCCTAGAGGATTTGACCTGACATCCATTGTCTTCCCTGCGGATCCCAAGACGAGATCGAGCGAGCAGAACCAGAAGGTACAATCATGCGCTGCGGTGATCCGGGAAGACGAGTGACGATTGGCCCTACTTCGCTCAGCGTCAGGAGAACTTCATCTCCTCGACATTCGGAAGGAAACTTAGCGGACTCAATCGGCTTCCTTGGACTTCCCGCCAGTCCACACCTGACGTGCACTCATTAACAGCCCAGGAACCAATGTGCCGCCATACGCAGATACATCCTGCAACCGTGCATATCCAAACTAGCGTCACGACCCATTTGGACTCCTTTCTCCTCGTCCTCTCATTCACGGGATCCTACTTCAGCTTCAGGGGCAATTGGTACTCTTTGGGAACACTCTTCTCTTCACCAAGTCCAACCTGTCAGCCGCTAACCTGTCAGCCGCTGATCTGGTCCTCGTGTCCCTACAGTTAAAGCGCGATTGGACTCCTCGGTACGACTACCAGTGCCTTCCTTCCCAGGCATCTCTGAGCCCCATTCCTCCCAGCCATCGCCATGACTCGCTTCTCAGCTCTCCTCGCGCTCTGCGCTGGGGCTCTGACCACGAACGTGGTCGCCAGCCCGACCGTCATTCGCGAGTCTCTCGTGACGCTCCCGCTCGCGCGCCGTCTAAACGCGACCGGGGTCAGGAACATCGTCGCGCGCGATCAGGCTCGCGCGAAGGTTCTCAAAACACGCGGTAACGTGGGCAATTCCAAGACAGGGCCCATTGATGACCCCTTGGACGACGTCGTCGTCAGTTACACCGTCGATGTGAAAGTCGGGACCCCGCCGATCACGTACACCCTCATCGTCGACACCGGCAGCTCTAATACTTGGGTCGGTGCGAATCAGAGCTATGTTGCTACTAACAGCAGTGTGGACACCGGCGATTCAGTGGTAGGTTGCTTCATCTCTATTGACCTCATTCCCACCCTACTGATGCTGTCTATGGGTTCGCTGAATAGTTCGTGGAATATGGTTCGGGGGGATTTGTAGGCGAAGAGTATACCGATACCGTGGCGGTCGGTAAGCTGACCATCGCCAACCAAAGCATCGGGGGGGCCTATCTCGCGTATGGCTTCAGCGGCGTCGATGGTATCCTTGGGTACGCAAAGTGACTTGGTATGGGTATGGAATCATAAATACTAACGAGATGCTGCTCACAGGCTCGGGCCGACCGACCTGACGAATGGTACTACTTCGGGCGGCGGCACGGTCCCGACGGTCCTCGACAACGCAGTCACGCTTGGTGTGGTCAAAGAGAAAACCCTCGGGATTTCTTTCGAGCCCTCTACTGGCGACGGCACTGCGAGCAACGGCGAGCTCACCTTTGGTGGTACGGATAGTACCAAGTTCACCGGAAAGCTGGACTACGTGTAAGGAGCTTTCCCTTGAGGCATACACCATATTAACGCCTTGCACATGCGGCAACTCTTACCACTTAGTCCTTTTACCTCCACTTCTCCCGCATCAGAATATGTTGGTATTGACCAGTCGATCACGTACGGCAGTGGAGGACAAACAATCCTAGCCTCCACCGCCGGAATTGTCGATACGGGTACCACCCTCATCATGATCGCCAGCGGTGTGTCACACTCTTCCTTTATACACTGCTGGAAATTCATGGCGAAGATTCAGATGCGTTTTCTACGTATACCAAGGCCACGGGAGGGACTGCAGACAAAGCTACTGGTCTCCTCAAGATCACTCAGGAGCAGTACAACAACCTGCAGAGCCTGTTCTTCCACATCGGCAAGGTCCGTCTTAGCCCCCTTGCACGGTCCATAAAACTCATGAAATTTGGCCAGAACACCTTCGAGCTAACTCCGAATGCGCAAATCTGGCCGCGTGCTGTGAGCCCTTCTTCTGTTGGTTAGGTCATTGCCCGCCGCTTACCTATCCCATCGACTCCGCACCAGCTCAACACAGCCATTGGCGGGCAAGACGGAAATATATATCTTGTAGTCGCCGATGTTGGGTCGAACAGCGGTTCTGGATTGGACTTCATCGATGGCTTCACCTTCCTCCAACGCTTCTACCATGCCGTCGACTACGCGGGCGGACGGGCGGGTTTCGCGACTACGTCGTTCACCCACGCGTCGACCAACTGAGTGTCTAATAACGAGGAACATCGAAGAACGAGGGAACTGGCAATGCAGTGGATACGATGGTGCGAAGGTTGAATGTATGCTAGACTCAGGCTCTGGCCTGTGTTAGTAAATAGTTGACGGTAGACTGCAAAGAAGCCGAGATATTGCGTAATGAACGCATGGCATGATGATGAAGCCTGTGCGTCCTCTCGCCGCGATCCTGTCATACGTGTCTCAGCGAGCAAGCAGTTATGTACATCGATGGCGTTGGCCTTAGACCAAAGAGCGCGGCTGAGCGGGAGCGTCACGGGTGCACTTTGTCACAGTCATGTGTCTGTGATCACATCGCCCGTCGCGTCGATCGCAAGTTTGACGCGTGACGCGTCTCGGTTGCTCCCGGGCCTTGTCTCAGTACGACCACTTGCATGTCCGCTGGGTATCACTTCACTCTGTTCCTCTCGTCTATAGTCTGCTTGATCTTCTGCTCTGCTCAATATGACTGACTCGATACCCAACCCCTGGATTGTCGAGTACCTCGTCGACATTGCTGAACAATACGGGGCAAACCTCGCAGCAGTACCGCGGAAAGACAAGGCTGCTAAAGCGCAACTAGTCAAGGTTGGCCGGAGTTCCGTCTTTGAAGCAGCGAAGAGGGTTCATAGCCGTACTGAAGCGTCCTCTTGTGGATAGTTCTTGACTTTCCCTCCCCCTGATAAGGACGAACCGTGCGCGCTGTGGGTCGAAATTTCGGACAAGAAACACGTCATCCGCGCCCGACTGAGCGCAGACGCGATACAAAAACATGATGCGTACGTCCTCGTGCTCCGTCTAGACAGGCAAGTGCTAACGCTGGCGCAGAAATCCCGCACATGGTGGGAAGCCCATCACCTCGCGCAAGTCCGCCTTCGTCCTGCTCAAGGACTTCCGTCCTGCCCTCGGACGGGTGGCCCGGAGAGATGGACAGAGCGGCATGACAGAGGAATCGACCCTCTTCTTGGACGTAGACACTATTGTGCTCAAAGGTGCGTTTGGCGAGGCGATGTGGGGCTCCCCCGTGGATTCCTCGAACGACCCAAAAGTACGGGATTGGATACATGGCTTGCGACAAGATGGTGGAGCAGGGTGAGTGACATGCTTCTACCTTCGGAGCTCCAGAACTGAAACAATTAGCGATAGCAATGTCCTGAAGCTGAGGAAACAGGAGGCAGCTGCTCACGCTGCCGAGCGAGAGGAGTTTGAGAAGAAAGCTGCGATGAAGCCGGCGGCAAAACCTTCTATGCAAACGACGATCAACCCTGCTGCTCTGGACATGAAGGTTCGTGTGGCAAGGAAGTCCGTTGCTCAGAAGCCGAAGAAGTCCATCAACGACGAAGACAGTCGGCAAGCCCTTATCCCGATTAACAAGGAGGTTCTACGGCGGGCCGCCTGGAAGGTGTGTCTCTATCTAATGCCTCATGACGCCGGTCATTGACTCGGCGCATATATACACTGGTACAGCGGTTCCACGCGAACATGGTCAAGTACTTCCGCCCGCCGGATGACATCTTCGAGCAGTTGATATCTTTATGCGGTGAGTCAGCTTGCACTGGCAATGTACACGGATCGTGCAATGGTTGTCACTGAACATGACCGCTTTGCCTAGATGGATCCTCATCCAAGTCCGCAATCCAGGTTTCAAAGGCGGCACAGAGGCAACAGCCTCGCTCGCGCTCAGGTGCGCGACATGCTGAGATTGTTCTTCCCTCATGCTGATCGACTCAAGTGCAGGCAGCCCCCGAGCAGGTACCCCGCGGTTCTCGCCTCCTCCTAGATCCCCTTCACATTGGTCGCCTTCGGTACGCGGGAGCCCTCAGCGCGATCCAGCGGGTGACTCGTCGGAGACGGAGGAGGAGCCTAGCGACGACGGAATGGAGGTCGACGATCCCAATTCGGCCCAAGTCAATGGCACGATGGACGAAGACCCTCCCGATCCACCAGAAGCCAATGGTGGTATAGACGAGCGGCGCGACGAAGACGAAGACGCAGCCGCGAACCACAGCTCGTCGTCCCTCACAATGCCACCCCCAGCGCAGCCCCGGCCCGCTCCCACTCCATCCGACGTCCCCTATGCGACCTCGCAGCCGCAGCCTCAGTCTCAGGTCGCCGAGCCTCCGTCCCAAGCTGCGGACCATGACCTACCCCCGTCGAGCCTTCCGATACCCCCATCCAGTCTCCGCGACCAGCTGTCTTCCCCTCTCACTCAGGGTCGTGACATATACCAGCCCTCTTCGGTACCTCGGCTAGGATGGAGTGCGAGCGAACCACTGATACGTCGAGTTCCACCCCCGGTATATAGCATGCTACGTCCTGACCCGGACGCCAGCGGTGAGGGAAGGGTGCTGGTGGAGAATTCAGATACAGCGAGCCCCGGTAGCCAGCGCGTGGGTATGTCCCAGAGCCAGAGTCATATTCAAAGCCAGAGTCAGAGCCAAAGTCAGGGCCGGGACGAAGGGGAGGAGGAACGCTCGCAAGAGCAGCGTGGGTCTCAGTACCAGCGGCCGTCGAAGCTGCGGAACGAGCTACGGCACGGGCGAACGCGATCAGCTGAACGGGAAGGGGACGTGCATGCTGCGGTCACGCATGACGAAGAACCGGTCCCGGTAGAATCCTCGCAGGGACGCATCGAGGGCGTTCTCGCCACGGAGGCGGAGGAGGAAGGCCCACCGGCGCTGTCGCAGAACGTACAAAACTTGTCACAGCCGCCATCGCAAAAAATGCACGATCCGCTGCACTCCCCCTCGCAGGAGTCGCAGAAGTCGCGCCAGTCGCTCTCGTACCAGGGCGATTCACAGAGCCAGGACAAGACTGCGGAGGCGCCTCCCGCGCCCTCCGAAGCACCTGTCGCAGGAGCCGAGGAAGCAGCCGTTTACGAGAGCGAGGAGGCGCCTGTTACCCTGGACGAAAATTTGCCGTTGGCGGACAGGACTGTTGTCCACGTCGAGCGAGCATCGCCTCCTTCCCCCATGCAAGTTGACGAGGAACCCGGATCACTCGTGGAGAATGTTGGGAATGCACCTACGTGGGCTGCTATCAAGAGCGCGCCCTCAACGGACAGCGAGGGCGCCGATAGTCAGGAAGAAGAGGCGGATGTCGACCAGCTCCTCTCAGACCCGATAGACATGGACCAGCGCGACAGAGCACCGACGACCAAGACCAGACGGAAGGGCGCGACGATCCAGGGTGCAAGGGGACAGCTAGACCCGGACGACGCGCGTACGGCGGCTATGGTCGACCGATACGTTTCGGGGATACAGAAGAAGACCGCGAAGGAGAAGGCACAGCGCCGGGATGGACGCCCTTCTGCGGAGGTGTTGGCTTCACGTCGGCCCACTCCTGCTGCCGATGAACAGCCCAAGGCTCGCCTGGCTCAACGCCGCAATAAGGGTCAAGGTGGTCCGGGCGTACCGTACGACCGGGGCGTGTTCACGAACGAGGAGTCCCTCAAGCTAACCGGCGAGGACGAGCATCCTAGTCCCGTGGATAGCCCGCCTGCCTCCAAGCATTCGCGACATGATCCCGAGGTCTGGACCGCGCCGACCTTCATGCGGAAAAGAAGCAGGTCGAAGGAGGACATAGGTTCTCGTCTCGCGAAGGCGAATGGGAAGCCTCAGCCATCTGCTGTGTTGGCTGCTGGGACGACTGCGGTACAGAAGCGGCCTGCTAGTGTTTCTCCGGAGTTGGAACAGGAGGAGCCATCGACCAAGAAGCGGAAGACGTCTACAGCTGCCATTTCGGTTTCCGGGGACAACGCCAAACCTCGGTTGGAGCAGCAGCAAGCCGGTCAACGCGACAGGAAGTCCGAACATGTCTCTGCGGCGGCGAGCGGGCCGTCCACACTATCCCGTGACCGCACACAGGATCTTCAAGCCCTGCCGAAAAAACCTACGCAGACTCGTCCTCCCTCAGATGCTGCTAGTGCATCGGACGCAGGAAGCACCGCGCTTAACTCCAAGTACCTCGACCTTCGCGCTGCTTCTCGGTCATCCTCCCGATCTTCTACGCGTGCGCCCAGGGCAGGAACTCGAGGGCCTGTGCAGACCATTCCTACGCCAAGTGAAGCGTCCTCGAGCACCGGGAAGGGCAAGGCCCGGACGCTTACTGTCACAGACGAGCGAAAGGGAAGCGTAAGCTCTTCAATGCCGCGCTCAAAACCTGTGCTACCTGTGCTTTCAGGAGCGAAGACGGTGTCTTCCCGTGGTACTACCCAGCGTTCCTCCGATCCTGCCAAACAGGGGTCATTGTCAACTCATGCTGTCCCTGCTCCGTCTGGATCGAGTTCTGGGGGTGGGGCCCTTGTGAGCGAGCTGCCGCCGCCTGGTCCTGACAAACCAGCAGAGCAACGTAAATCATTGCTGGATGGGTATAAGGTCTCGCTAGATCTTGTGAAGGTGCCCGGTGGGCCGCCGTTACTAGATTGGAACGATCTACTACACATCTTATTGAGGACCGGACAGGCGCGAGCACGTCCGGCGTCGGGTGCGAGCAGAAGCGGAGGAGACGGGTAACGCCAATATGTCGTGCGATGTGTGGCGATTCTCTGTATATACTACAAATCTAAACCCACTTCAAGGACGTCGATGCCGCAGAAGTGTCCATGCACATGCACTGACGTAGTTGATGCAGACCCAATATAGTCGTTTCGCAGACGGTTTAGAGCTGGCGGTTCGAGCTCCTCATTAGTGTAGGACAGGTGGAGCACATTTTCGAAACCGCTGGCGAAATGGTTCAGTGCATCTGGGTATATTCGCGCGCAGCTGGCATTCGTCCCTGTCGTGCCGGACGACTCCCTTCGCGCAGCCGCCATGTTTATAGCTACTTACCTCTCTGGATTTCCCTTGGTGAGGTCTTGGCAACGGCGGCGACGATATCTCAACCCTATATGGCCTTTCTCTCACCTGCCGCCAGCTCCGTCCTCGTAGTCTCTGCCTGCTGATTGTCAATGTTGATCTTGTCCAGATGATTAGAAAGCTGCATATCATGGCACTTTGTGATTGATATCTGGTCATCTCAGATACTGTGGGCCAGAATTTGGTACTCTGAGGGATCCTGGATTGAACGATGCTGGCCTGAGAGTTGATCCTAAGCTCCATCACCCTGTTAGATTCTCACTACCGCACGATCCAGATGAAGTGTCTGCAAAGAGACAGGAGACCTGCTTCTCGCCTTGTCGTACATACTGCGTACACACCCGAGGTGTTGTCTTTCGCCCTCTTGGCGGACGGAAGGTTGTTGTATGGATGGGGGGGGGGGCGCGCTACGATGAAGGTCTGGAACACTTCCAGCAGCGTGACGGCATTGTCCTTGGAAGGACACGATGATGGGGTCTATGCTGTTTTGCTTCTTTCCTTGCGGAGAGTACGTCGCGTCAGCTTGACAGGACGGTACGATCGTAGAGGACAAGCGATGGGTCATGTTTGTCCATTTACACAAGCAGAAAGGTAGGATTACACATCTCGCTGTCTCTCAAGACAGACTGATGCGTCGTATGCGTGTGAAGGGGAGAAGGGGGGAGTCTTCATCAGACGTTTAATCGAAATAGTTCCACTTGGATAACCGAAGTGTAGTATGCAGTCGCCATCTTGATGTTTGTGAGACCTCCTTAGCAGTCATGTGCATCTATTATATAAGGCACCCTTATAGTCAGTGTGTACTACTTGAAATTGCTGGAGGTGTAATATGCCATGGCTTACTGCATTGGTAAGTTGCCACTGGGAGCTAGTAGAGTAATTTGGTGTGTGTTTGAAGCTCACCTGGAGAGCTTGCATTCATATGAATTCACAAGTATACTTCGTTCCAGGGCTTTGGAGTCCTGTCCTCAATAGTCGTGAGTCAAGATGGGGTTGCAGTGGACTGAGAACAAGCGCCCTTACTCGTTGAGGGCGGCACCACGGCCACGTGATGCGGTACACAGTCGCGTCTGCTGCGCACGCGGTTCGTCTTTGCTCCCTGCGGCCATCTTCTCCTCCCCCCTCCCCAGTGCTTCCTCCCTTCCGTGCTGCCCTTTAATCTACGCCTGGGTTATGGTGAAAACGACCACACGTACGCGATAATATGGCTTCTCGACGCAGACAAATCACCTACGCTCCGCTCAACGATACTCATGACACCCGTGACGTTTCTCCCTCGCGGCCCTCGGCAATTATGCGACTCGCTATGGCCGGCAACGACGAATATGACAGGCCAGAGAGTACGACTACCACCATACAGCAACGACCTCCTCGCACGTCCCCGGTACGGTACCCGTCTCTCCCGTCCGTCCCCGAAGCATCCGAGGAGGGATCTGTGACGAGCGAGAGAATGTCACTTTCAAGGCAGAGCTCTGGAGAGACGCTCTACGGAGACAGGCACGACGGTTATGCTTCCTATAATCATAGACCTACCTTTCCCCAGCTGCCCACCATCGATTCTGGCGAACCCCTCACCTGGGATAGTCTGCATACAGCACCAGACGATGACCCCTTCTCCGACTCTCACCCTCCTGTATATCATCATCCTGTTCCTTCTGCGCCCCTCTATCAAGCTCCTGCCCTCATGCAACAAAATACTTCCCAATCTAGCCTCTCCGAGCAGTACTACTTGGCCGGCGACCGTGGCTCCTGGCCTTCTCGTCCGATTTCCGCCTACAGTGCTGTTGCCTCCGATGTCACTGGCTATAGTTACGCGCCGCCTCCAGAGCAGCACGCGACGGTCATGTATCCTGCGGATGCGTCGATTGACCATTTCCAGCATGACACCGAAGCTTATGCCTCTGGCGCGTTCTCTCGGGCGACCTACCGACCACCACGCTCGCGCTCCCCCACCCCTGCCGTAGACGACGATGACTATCACATTACGAGCAACGGCAGCGTTCAGTACACGGGCTTCTCCCCATCTCCGCAGCGCAGGGCGGCATCGCAAGTAACCACCAACGAAAACGAGTCTCCTCTCCGCGCCCGGCCGTTCTCTCAGGCGTCGACAACCGAGTCCCCTCAGCGTCGGCCATTCTCCAACGTGTCCACCAACTCCCAGGAATCCTCCCTATCTGCGTTTGGCCACTCGCGCACGTTCCTGCGTGCGATGTCTGAGCCTGCCGACCCTGAGAAAGCGTCGCTCGCGCACTCGGCCTCGACGACGACGGAGCCAGAGACCCCACTTCCCACGCGGCACTTTGGCCCTGCGCCCACTGGGCGTGTCCTGCGGCGGCACAAGACGAAGAAGCGGGTGCAGCTCACGAACGGGAACCTTGTACTGGACTTGTCCGTGCCCCCGAAGCTGGTATTGCCGCGCAAGGGCGACGCGGAGACGCTTAAGACGCGGTACACCGCGGTGACGTGCGACCCGGACGAGTTCGAGAAGAAGGGGTTCTTCTTGAGGCAGAATGAGATGAGGAGGACGACAGAGCTGTTTATTGTTATTACTATGTTTAACGTACGTGCATCCACAGTGCGGTTTGACGTGGTGTGGGAGCTGACCGGTTCGTTTGACTGCAGGAGGACGAGGTGCTGTTCTGCCGGACGATGATTGGCGTCATGCGAAACATTGCGCATTTGTGTTCGCGGAAGAACTCGCGGACGTGGGGCGAGGATGCCTGGAAGAAGGTGACGAACCTCTGAACGTCACCTGTACTTGCACTCACCTTCAGTACTAGGTGGTCGTGTGCATCGTCGCTGACGGACGCAAGAAAGTGCACCCGCGCGTGTTAGACTGCCTGACGCTGCTGGGCGTATACCAGCCCGGGGACCACATGAAGAACATGGTCAACAACAAGCCGGTCACGGCACACCTGTTCGAGTACACGACGACATTCGGGCTCGACGAGAACCTCAAGTTCAAGTACCCTGATAAAGGCATCGTGCCGACGCAGATCATCTTCTGCATGAAGGAGAAGAACCAAAAGAAGATCAACTCGCACCGCTGGTTCTTCAACGCGTTCGGACCGATGCTCCAGCCCAACGTATGTGTACTGCTCGATGTGGGCACGCGTCCGGGGAACAAGAGCATATATCATTTGTGGAAGGCGTTCGACGTGAACTCGAATGTTGCGGGGGCGTGTGGGGAGATTGCGGTGTACAAGGGCAAGCATTGGCTTGGGCTACTCAACCCTCTTGGTGAGCATACTTGTGTATGACAAGTCTCAATGGGTTTACTGAAATATATTTTTCAGTCGCGGCGCAGAACTTCGAGTACAAGATCACGAACATCCTCGACAAGCCCACCGAATCATTGTTTGGATATATCAGCGTTCTGGTGGGTGGCATATTCAACCCCAACAATCATGTGTGTCTCCTGACTTGACTGGCAGCCCGGAGCGTTCTCCGCATACAGGTACATCGCTTTGCAGAATGACAAGTACGGCCTTGGCCCGCTTGCGTCGTACTTCAAGGGCGAGGTCCTGCATGGTCGCGACACAGATATCTTCACCTCCAATATGTGTAAGCCCCGTGCTTGACCCTCTCCCGATGGATACTGAGCGCTCGATGCTACCCAGATCTTGCCGAAGATGTGAGGTTCTATCTGCGGATGAACGCTTGCATTCACTCACACAGTCCTCGCAGCGTATCCTGTGCTTTGAACTCGTGGCGAAGCGGAACTCTAATTGGTATGCATTCTCTATTCGTGATTGCGCTGATCCACTTCTAACATAACTTCTTGAACAGGGTATTGAAGTACGTCAAGAGCGCGATAGCCGAGACGGATGTCCCAGAAGCGCTTCCGGAGTTCATCAGCCAGCGCCGTCGCTGGCTCAACGGCTCCTTCTTCGCTGCCACATACGCCATCGCGCATCTTGGCCAAATCTTGCAATCGGGGCATAGCGTCGTGCGCAAGGTCTTGTTGGTCTTCGAGACGATTTATAACGTGGTCAACCTGATCGCGGCGTGGTTCGCTGTGGTGCGTGCTCCCGTTCTCATCAAGGTCTGTAGTCGGTCGTGCTCAAGTCAGTGGCATTGTCATCTGTGATAGGGGAACTTTTACCTGTTCTTCGTGAGTCCGCCCCCGCGCATGCGTGTCGTGCGGGTTACCCATACCCCCTACAGGTCATCTTGACGTCGTCTTTGGAGAGCGATGCCTTTGGCATGCCTGGCATCAAATACTTCAACGCGGTGAGCCAGTTTTTAATGGCCTCCCTGGTCATTTCGGTCTTCTTGTTCTCGATGGGCAATAAACCAAAAGCGTGCGTGTCCCTTGAGCTCATCCAAATCCCTATATAGCTGAGAAGTCTTGCCGATGTAGCTCACGATGGAAGTATAAGATCTGCACCCTGGCCTTTGCCGTTCTCATGATCTACGTCATCTTCGCCGCCGTCATGTGTGCCGTTCAGGCTGCCAACCAGGGAGGCTCGTCATACAGCCTCATGCTGTTCAGCATTATCGTCACTTACGGCAGTACGTATTTGCTACCAAGATAAGGCCTTCAGGAACTCATTCACGTCGTAGTGTATGCCCTGTCGAGCATCCTGGCTATCGACCCGTGGCACATGTTTACGAGCTTCCTTCCGTATATGCTCCTTTCTCCGACCTATGTCAACATTCTCCAGATGTGCGTTCCTCCCGTTGTTTTTTCTACTCAGACCTGGTGTAATCTCGCTTTTCTAGATATGCATTCTCTAACCTAGACGACGTAAGACAAGCGCTACTCGTAGCACCCGAAACATTCGCTGACGGTAGACTCTACCAGATCTCGTGGGGCACGAAGCAAGACTCAGAGATCAGTACCGATCTCGGCGCCGTCATCCAGAACAGCAACTCCCAAGTCGATCTCGAGGTTCCCACGGACGCTACCGATGTAAATATGATCTATGAGGAAGCGCTCGACAACCTGCGCAATCGCAAGCCCATCCTCAAGCCCGCCGGGCTGAACGACGCGGAGAAGGAGCAGCTCGCTAGGGACTACTACGCTAACGTGCGGACGAACGTTCTCTTGTTTTGGGTTCTGTCGAATGTGTGTCGTCCGACCCGATTGCTTCTCGTGCGATTCTATTGACGCTCGGTGAAAGGGCTTGCTTCTCGTCGCGATTCTTGGTGGCGGGGACGCCGTCGACACATTCTCGGTCAACAATACCTTCAGCCGGACGAAGGCGTATATGACCTTCATCTTGGCCTTCGTTGCCATCACGAGTATCGTCGTAAGCCAGCTTCGCTCTTGTACCTCTCCATGCTTGTTGACATTTATGCTGACTGTTGTAGCGATTCACGGGCTCATTGATGTACCTCACCGCCCGTGTCTTCACGGGATGAAACCCTTGGAGCAACAAGGAGTCTTCTATGTATAGATATACATGTATTGACTTATTTCTCATATGCCTCTCTTAAGATCATCTCACGGACTTGTATATCGTACACCACCAATCAGTCTCTTGTACATATACCTATAACTATGCGTATACACATCCAACTCTCCGGATTCTCGGGATGCGATGGAGACTAGAATAACATCTGAACCGGAAGGGGCAGATTACGAGACAAACCAAGAATCCGACGCTCAAGCGAATAGGTAATCATAAAACGACCGTCTGCCTGTAAGTTGTAGTCGGACAGCAGGATTCATTCGCTGCTTCGCCCTCGGCGGCGCCCTTCTCGCGGGGGACCTCGACGGCGAGCTCGCAGACCTCCGCTGCCTCTCCAGCAGCCTCGACCTGAGCACATCCGGGCCCTGCCTTCGCCTGTCCGCGAGCGGCGTCCGCTCCAAGTCGATTCCGCCTTCGGCGTCGCTCACGGACAGCGACGCGACGCTTCCGACGAGGTCGCCCTCCGGCTCAGGCGCGGACATGTCCCCCTCGGCCTCCGCGTCCGACTCCCCGACGACAGACCATCCGTCCGAGTCGAGTGCGCTCATCGAGATAGGGGCGGCACGCACGGCGTACGCGGACGGCACGGGGACGAGCCTAGGCGACGCCGGGGCGGAGGCGTCTGAGCCTTCCACGATCGCTGAGAGAGCGTGGGAGGGTGCAGGGGCTGAGGGGCCTTCGGCATCGGAGAGGTCGCCGCGGTCGGAGACGATCTCAGACTCGGTGTCCAAGTCGGTCGCGGAGAGCTCGGAGAGGTCCGTCACGGGCGGGGTGTCGAGTGTAGGCGCTGCGTAGCGTGTAGGCCGGGTGACGTTCGGGCGGAGGAGATAGGTGAGGCGTTGGCCGGAGGTGTCTTTGCCTGGACAATAAGGTAAGAGGGGGCACCGAGACGAGCACATGTGGAGCGACGTACTAAAGCTGACCACCTCGTGATAGCGCGCACAGCAGTGCACGACATAGCGAGTGAAAGCGTTGTCCTCAACGTTCCAGACGAGCTGTAGGGGCGTCCTGGATACCTCCCAGACTGCGTCGGTTGAGCCTATGGGTTTCCCCGGCAAGTCAAGGGGCGCGGATGCATCAGGGGAGAGAACGATGCCTCCTGTTGAGAGCCAGTCGAGGATCACGTCCTCGAGCTCCTTCACGAGCAGCTCGATGCGCGGCCCCGAGTTGCGAAGTTGGCGCCGCGTGCCCTTGAGGCTCAACGAGAAGCGTCCAGCATTGGCAGAAGCGGGCTCGCGCACGGTCGGTACGGCTGCAGGGATAGGGTTGTTGCGCGACAAGAAGTTAGGTAGCGGTTCAGGAAAGGTAGGCTGACTGCTGGGGATGGGGACACTGAAGTCCTTCTTGGCCGGCGCGACGATGTGAACGTTGCCCACAAACCGCGCTGGGAACGGGCGACGGGCGAGTGCATGCTCGGCTCTACCTCATGAGCGCAGACGACGAACAGCTGGGGAGACGTACCATTTTCCTTGCGCCGGACCCACCGCTTGCCCTCCTTATCGTCCCGTCTGTTCCGCTTCCCTGAGACTGAAGGGGACGGGGCGGCACGGGGAGGCACGCGCAAGTGCGCAAAGCGATCCGAGATACCAGGGTTGCGCAATATAGCTGGGAAAGACATGGGTATTGGACCGCTGTCCCTCTCAGGGGCGGGGGCAGGACTAGCAGGTGTGGCTTGAGGAGCAGAGTCCATATCGGCAGGAGACATATAGCGATGGTATGCAACAGAGGGCAAGCTCAGTATCACAGGGGACTAATATGTGGACTGAACCCCTCCGCGACGTTGGTTTGTTGAGCGCAGCGAGTCGAGGCGGTGAAGTCAGCGTCCTGGTCAGAGTCACTCTTGTTCCTCGTCGTTGACGGAAGCGGCGGCGGGATCGTACACCGGAGCGCCCGGTAGTATACTCCCGGCCATAGCCGACTCCAAGCTATGAAGACCTGAACTCGTTCTTCACTGAGACATGTACCCATATCTGCAACATCGTCCTCCTCACCAAAACCTTTGGACGCCTGTCTCACTTAGTCACACTGTAAGTCCTCGGCTGGTTTTTGTGTGAGTCCTGCCCTAAGTCAAATATCTACGTAGCATTGGCTCCCTCAACTATGTTGGAGATTCAAGCTTTGAGTGTCGATGTCGTTCTATGTGGGCTTATGTGTAACGCCAGCAATGCTGCGTCTGATAACTTCGAGGCTATTCCGTACAGTCGGACATCGATGCACAGCTCATCTCATGGCATCCATACTCGCGCATAGCCTCGGGTCACACGGGATCCTCAAATGTGGTTGGATGCTATGCCTCCTTGAACTCTAAGCTGAAAGCTTGTATCCTCCCCGGCACTTCATTTGGCCCGAAGCCGCTGCAACCACCTCCTGCTTCACCATTGCTGAGCTACCTACCATGGGCCCTGTGATCCCGACTGAGGTTGTCGAGCGTGTCATTGACAACCTCTGGGACGACGTCTCCACCCTCCACAACTTCTCCCTTACATGTCGCGATCTCGCACCTCGTAGTCGCTACCATATTTTAAGCAAAATCCGCATTGTAGGCCAAGGGCAGCTCAACTCCGTCCTCAATCTTCTCAACGCAAATCCTGATATCCCCTCCCTGGTTCGATGAGTGACAATATCACTGCTAGGCGGCACTCGACCTCTACTTGAAGTCGTCCCTACCAATCTGCTCACCCTTCCGAACCTGACGCGGTGGAAATTCGCTGACGGGAATGCCTACGGTCAACGGCGATGGGTTGCATTCCACACCTCCACATTGCTCAACTGCCGGTATCTCAGCGCAAGTGTATGCACGTTGTCTATAGATAACGTGTATTTCACGGGTTGTGCAGCCTTTTCCCGGCTTCTACTATCGTTCCCTGGTCTCCGACAACTCAGCTGTAGCGGAGTCTCAGTTCGGGCAAAGGATCCAGATCCAGCTCCAGATCAAGCGAGGAAGGACTCTTCGAGGACCTTGCAATTGACTGGACTTGTGGTACGCATAGATATCTTATATAGCTCATGACAATGATCATTCTCCCTAATCTATGCATATCACAGTTCGTTGAGGGCGTGGACGAGATCGTTGCGAAAGCGCTTCTACAGTGGACTCGAACTACACTACGCGAACTGGAGATCAGAGCAGGATGGTGGATACCCCTCCAAGAAAACGGTGTTCAAGGCGATGAAATCACTGGTGAGTGATTCTTACCGGCCATCACAAGCCTATCTACAGCAACGATATGTGGGTGCATATTCTGACCAGCCTCCTCACAGCTCAAGACACATGTCTATGCCGGGTGCCGCCGCTTGGTAGTTTGTCTTCTCTCACAGTGCACATACGCATCAGGAAGGCACCTTTGGCGAACAAAGATATCAGCGACCACGCGCTCTCAGGCCTCTCCTCCGCCGTCCAGTTCTTCCGAAGTGACAACCTGAAGCTTTTCAGCTCCCTGCAAGCCGTCAACATCGTATTCCACCTTGAAAAGTATATCGGTTGGTTCTGTCAGTTGCTGAAGAGCGACCGATCTGCCGAGCTGTGCGGACGACTAGAGCAAATCCTTCTGAACCTTCCCCTCTCTGTTCGAAGCCTGACGTTCCAACTCGAAGATCAGGAGCCCCTCAAATTGCATAGACGGACACTGTGGGAGACAGTCTTGCGGGAACACTTTCCAAAGCTGATGCGGACGTCTCGCTGTACCTTCGTGGTGCATTGTCTGACACAGGGTAAGTTGCACATCATATACAGTTACTACGACTCATCTATGATACTGAATTTCAACAGTGGACAAAGTCGGTCACGACCTTCCCGTTTGTACCCTGTCCATCTCTCGGGATGGAAAGTGGTTCGCAAGTGGCTCCGAAGACGGCACCATCATCCTTTGGGACGCTACTGCCGGCCACGTTGTTCATCAATGGCTGGCCCATAAAACCAATATCACGCTTCTCGAGTTCTCTCCTTTGCGTCCACGCTTGTTGTCCTCCGGTGGTGATGGCAGCAGAGTGTGGGACGTGGGCAACGGACGCCATCAGCTGGTGGCTAGCCATGGGGTTGACCCGACACAATGCGCCTAGTCTCTTCCCGGCGACTTCCTGGTGACAGGATATTCTGGTTCCGACTTGGATACAGTGGGCGCGAGCACCGGTCATCGGCTTCTCGAAGGGATACCCTTCGACTTTTCCCTAGATTGCAGTGTTGACGTCCGACAGATTGTGTTCTCTCCCACTCCCTATCTAGGCGGCGAGTGGCTTGTCGCAACACCACGTTTCGGCACCCTCTACAAGGGATGTTGGGTGTGGAATACAAGATGGGGAACTCTACACGGAGTTCTGCCAGAATCCCGCGTTGACGTGATGTCCGTCCGGTTCGACTCAATGGGCCGGCGCTCCTGACGGTCGGGGTGGTACCATGGGACTTGTATGTCGTCGTGGCTGTTTGGTATGTATTTATCAAGGAGCGGACTCTCGCGGTCCGGCCGACCTCGCGCCCAGACTCCACTGGCCGGTGGCTCAATCCCCCTATTGCGAAATTCTCCCCTTTTGCGGACCTGCTCATGGTCACGTTCGCCTTCGAGGCGGGTGATGTGATACAGCTCTGGGATTTGTCTACGGCGACCGGAGACGACCCTCCTCCCAGGCTGACTCTCCTCGGACACACACTGGCATGATCAAAAGCGCATGCTTCTCGCCCGATGGGAGATACGTTGCGTCGGGGTCTTTCGACCGCACCGTGCGGCTGTGGAGGACCAGCGACGGTGACTGTCTAGACGTCTTCGAACATGATTCATCAGTGGAGCGAGTCAAGTTCACGACGGACGGACGGCGGCTCATCGCCGGCGTAGGGGACGGGTCAGTTCTCGTCCATCACCTCCAAGACTATTATCCCGGTCCGGAATACGGGTATGCGCAGGCCCCAGGGAGAAGGGGGGGGGGTAGCGGCGGAGAAGAGTAGGAGGGTGGGAGGCAGGAAACTGTCAGGCGACCCAAGCTCGAAGGAGGCAAAGAAGGGTGAGGGGACAACGCGGGGATAATGCCGGCAGGAGACGTGGACAGAGGACTCCCGAGGCCATGTATGTACTGATCAGTCGCCATTCGGGCAATCTACCATACCGCTCTCAGATTCTTACCTGTTCTAGTGGACATGTTAGCTATGTAGACCCTTCATATTGCATTTGCCTCTTGCCTCTGAAAATATCGTGGACTGTTGCAGCCTCTGTATATGTCTTTGCCGCAGCCAATCAATAGGATCTCCTATTTTCTGGACAACTGTCAGCTGTGTTCCATGGTTTTTGTGGTTATCAGCGCCGATGGGCCAACTGCGGGATGGGGCGGATGCGTATGGATATATGCGCTGGTTTGGAAGCGGTCTTGACACAAGTACTGGACCAGCTTAACTTGCAAGAACAAGGCACGCGCCCGGAGGGCACGGCTGGCTATTCAGCCACTCCACTCATTGTCACGGCTGCCCGGAAGGCCCCACGATACAGATTTCGTCTCACGATTAACGTGCTCATCAGTCGAGGTACGACGGGCTCAACGAAGTTTCCTAGCTGATGCTGGGCGATCATAATCACTGCTTACTAATATTCAACGAATGAACGTATCGTCGTGTACATACATTCTCGTATTCACTCCCTGGGGAAATGTGGTATCCGACTTCGTACATGGGCCAGTGATACTACCGTCAAGCTTCGTCCAATATACGCATGCACTATAATACAATCATATTCGTGTGGGTTGCAACGTCCCGATCGTCTACACGTTGTTCCCCCCGAGGCCGACGGCGTTCTTGGCCTTCTGGGTCAACGAGGGCTGTAAAAGCACAAGGTCAACATCCTGAATGTCCCTATATGCGTAGGTGGCGGGGCGAACGTACCTCATTCTCGTTAGAGTTCGAGCTGAACTTGTCGCCGATCGACTGCGAGGTGGACTTCTGGCTCTCGGGCTGGACCGAGGACGCGGCAGAGTCGGACTTGCCCTTGAGCTTGTCGCCGAAGTGCTCGGTCGTCGATTTCTCGGAGTCGGGCTGCGAGATGGCCGCGTCCCGTCAGCACGCGTGTCCGTCCCTTGTCACTGGGCTCCCCGAAGAGCACGGAACGCACCTTCAGAGCGGCGCCGGCCTTGTCGGTGAGAGACTGCCTGCCAGTGTCGGACATGGTGAGTGATGGTGTGGGTGGGGTGTCTATAACGAGGCGGGTGGTGTGAGTGCGTTGGGAGTAGAAGAGCGAGTGCTTGGTGCTCTCCCTCGCCCAACTCTACCCACCTTATATACGCCCCCGATGTCCCGCACCGAGCTCACGGCTGGACCATGGGTGACACCGCCGAGCCCAGTGGGGTGCTGCCACAACCACGACTGGAGGTATGCGGTCAACTGCGCGTCGCAAGGATGGCCCGGATGACGCAGGGAGAGGTGGAGAGGAGAGGCGTCATAGTGTGCGACTCTGACGTCGGGCGTACAGTAGCCCACAACAAGAGGGACATCGTGCAGACGTCATGCACGCACGGTGGGGGCGCCTTACCCGACGCGTTACTCGGCCTTCCAAACAAAGTGCATCTTGTCGCTGGCGTCCACGAGTCTCGGCCTTGTACGTAGCCCGTCAGTGGAGCAGAGCTTAATGATTCACGTAACAAGGTGTAGCTTGTGAAACATCATAGATTGTCTCTACCGGGACGAGCTTCAAGAAGAGTGCAGACGATAATCAATAATGTACGCACTTACACACAGCGGACAACAACACGAATAGCTAGGATGCAGGGACGAATGACGTATCACAGGCACAGCCAAGCGGGATCATTCAAGCATGACACAATCGTGAACTTAGATGAGACATAACTCTAACTGCAAAGGAGAACCAACCATCCTCAGAGGCCGAACGCAGATGCAATCGATGGCGCCGCAGAGCCCTGCCGCCGCGAGGGGCCAGCACCGGCGGCAGACGACGCCTGCGACATGCGAGGGATCCCGTTCGCGGACGAGGGCGCCGTCGACCCGTGACGCTGCCGCTCCCACAGCTTGTCCTTGGCACGGACCTCGATGTTCGCAAACGGCTCTGCCTGGCTCAGCTTCACGCAGTCCCGTGTCCCGAGCACGAGCAGCTCGAAGAAGAACGTCGCAGCTGCCCGACGAGACGCCTAGATATACATCGCAATACCACCGGCAAAGCACACGATCATCAGCAAACGTCATCCTCACCGACACGCTACGCACCTTCTGCGCCATGTGGTTGAAGCTCATGTACCTCTCCTCCTCCCGCTCCTCCGCAATCGGCTCCAGCTCCCTCCGGATGACCGCAAGCGCCTTCACCGTGTTCTTGCTGTACCCCTTCCCGTCGTCGCTCGGCTCGCTCGTCCCCTGACTCTGACCCTGGCTCTGGCTCTGGCTCTGGCTCTGGCTCTGGCTCTGGCTCGCCACCGTCCGGTCGTCGAACAGCGCGATCGGGCACGTCGCGTCCGCGTGGCTCTCCTCGCCCTCCTCCAGGAGCGGATCTGGCGGCGCCTCCGACAGCCGCGTGAGCTCCGACGGCGCGAGCGACCTGCTCCGCTCCCGTTGCAGCTCCTCGGCCCCCGCAAAGTCCGGCACGTCCATCTGGAAGTCCTCGATGCCTGCCCCCGTGTCGAACGTGAAGTCCGCCCCGGGCCCGATGCTCGCGCGGCCGTACACGTCGCTGCCGAGGGCGACACTGGGCGCGCGGCTCTCGCGCCGCGCCTGCTCGATCTCGTCGTCGTCCACCACGCTCCCGTCGACGCGCCGCTTCTTGCTTGGGGGCTTCTCCGGGGAGGCGCCCCGCCGCTTCGCCGCGCTGAGGTTCGTGATCGGGCGCATGAACATGTCCGCGAGCTCGGGCACGAGTCCTGGCGGGGCCGCGAAGAAGAACGTGCCGTGCGGAGTCGTCTTGGTCGGGAGGAAGTGCGCGAGGGGGTCGTCACGGATTTCGAGGAGCCGCATGACGAGGGAGGAACGGGGAAGGGTGGCGTGTTCGGTCACGATGCCGCTCACGTCCACTGGCGCTCCCAGCCCAGCATTGCGTCCGCGACCGACGCGGGCCCCGGGGCCGTCGGCGAGCTCAGTGACTGAGTCGATGATCTGTTTCTTCTCCTTGCGCTGCTTCTTCGCGCCCTCCTCTGGGACGACCTTCGGCGTGAGCTCGACGTCAGGGGGAGGGGTTTGTGGCGGTTCAGTGAGGGGAGACGCTGCTTGGACGTCAGCTTTACCCAAGCGTTCGAACCGGACAATACTCACATGCGCGCGAGGGAGTGAGGCGCGGCGTGGGCGCGTGCTCGCTCAACGGCGCATCAGGCAAAGGCAAGGGCTCGTCTTCGAACGAGATGCCTAGATCAACGTCCATACCCGCATCGTCAGGCCCAAAGCCCATATCGATGTCCGCCGCGAACGGGTTCTCCGACTGCGCCCTACTCCTGACCGACAGCAGGTCCAGGTCGTCCACGCCCTGCGGACCGAGCACATGCGAGCCGATTGACTCGCGGTACGGGCGCGGCTCCGCGCGCTCTCGGGGCATCTCGACGCTCATGTCGTCGTCCTCAGACATGCGCGACGGCGTGCGCGCGGCGGGTGCGGCTGGGCCGTCGCCGAAGTCGAGGTTCAGGTCGATGTCGTAGTCCTGCGAGCCGATCCCGTCGGACGGCCCGAGGTCGAAGCCGTACTCGGCGTCGTCGAAGTCGAACTGGAGGTCCGCGTTGCCGAGCGTGATGTCGGCCGCGCGCGCGATGTGCTGACCGCCGGGTTGGACGTTCCGGGTCTCGAAATCGGCGGTGTCCCAGTCGAGATCGGGGAGGAGGGCGTCGAGGTCGAGGTTGTTGCTCTGGAGGGTGATGGCGTTTTGGTTGACGGCGAGCTGGTCCTCTGTCATGTCGACGATGCCTGGGCGGAAGGCCTGTGGTGGCGATATGTCCCCTGTACTGAAGTTGAGAGGAGAGATGCACGCACCATTTTGATCTTCAGCAACGCCTCATTACAGTCATCTAGCAGATACTTCGCCTTCCGGCTGTAGATGCGCACAACACCCAGGAGGAGCTGACCACTGAGCCGGAGAGCCATAACCTCGATCTCCTGGTGCATGATCGCGTCTGGAAGCGCGTTTTGGACGCGTCAAGTACTAGGCACTGGATTGAGGGCGCATGGACCACTCACCAACTGACTGTTCAATGTCCGTTTGCAAAGTCTGGGTCTTGGAGAGCTTCCGCTCCATGTGAGCCGCGAGCCACACCTTGGCCAGGGGCCCGCGGCGAGATAGGATAGCTTCTGAATAAAACTGCATGGAGTTCGTCAGTATAGCCTTCTAGCGCGTCGTAGGGGAGCATACCATAGGTATCCAAGAGATATAGGGGGGTACTGCTCAGTGAGCAGGGAGAGGACTGAGGGTGTCGCGGTGGTTTCGAACAAGCCTCCGCCACCATGGTCCGTTCCCGCCTCGGCAGGCCACGTGGTACACGTTCCCACGCTTGCTGGTCCACTCGGAGCGGGCGGCCAGAAATTGTGTCCATTGCTCGCTGCTGTCTCCGACGAGCTCGATGCTTGCGTCGTCTTCTCGCCATGTTCTCAAGAGGGCCCAGCGAAAACTTTTACAGGCAGCGGCGGAGGTAGCGAATGCTCCTGTCGTCGCGGCTTCGTCCACCCAACGTATGTCGGTCACCGCAGGTCTCGTACACCTGGCGCATCACTCACGTCCGTCCGACACGTTATAGGTCTACACGAATGGCGAAGACATGCTGGCACCGCTCCCTATCTGACATCAACTGATCTTGGACCGTCCTACGAGAGCCCGCACCGCCGATTCGCTGTGGGCGCGGACACTAACTTCCGCAGCCCTACCAACACCCCGCTCGCCCGCTTCAACATGATGCTCGCCTCGCAACTCGATCGCGGGAAGACGCACGTCGTTTTCACTATTGCGCGACGCATGAAGGCGGAGGGCGTCCAGCCAGACAGGTCGACGTACAACTGCCTGCTGCAGGCTTGTGCCCAGGAGCGGTTGTACGCGGAGGCGAGGGGCATCTTCGAGGATATGGTCGCTATGGGCATACACCCTGACAGACAATCTTTCCACTATCTCATGGAGGTGCGTGACTTTTATTGACAAAACTGTCGTGGCAAGCGTCCATGCATGGCTGCTCCCGAACGTCAAGAGCAATGATGGACTTGTGCATCTGACATGCATATTGCTCTCTTATAGACATTAAGACCTCATGAGCAAAGTGCCATATTCGATGTGATCAAGATGATGGAGGAGTGGAGTGTCCTGCCGAACGAGTTTACATACGAAAGTATCATTACTCGCCTCGCGGAGAACCAACGACTAGAACTCGCCCTGCAATTCCTCGCGAAACTCGGACCCGCCGGGCTTTCCCCCACATTGAAGACGGCTACCGCTGTGATCACGTGTGCTGCTGACCTTGGCTTCCCTCAGCTTGCGCTGGATCTCGCTGACTCGTACGAGTCGACATCCGTGCGGCGACTAGAGCCCGAGGTTTGGGTAGACTTGCTCGTCAGCTGCGCTGAATCGCTCTACGTATGTCCTAGTCCTTTCTCTTGCTTTTCCTTGCTCACTCAAGATTCCAGTCAGAAGGCACGCTCCGCACATGGCGGAAGGTCGTCCTCGACCTAGACATAGTCCCCGACGAAGGCTGCTGTCTCCAGGTGCTTCATACTGCGGCGCGGCACGGCCACACCTCTCTCGCTCTGGAGGCGATCGGCGCGCTGAAGAAGCTGAACGTCGTCTGGGCCGAGCACCACTTCGCGCCTGTCGTCGAGGCGATGTGCGCTCGCAGCGAGATCAGGGAGGCGTTAATACTCCTCGACTTCATGCGCAAGAACGGCATGACGCCCACGCTCGATACCGCGTCGCCCATCCTCGCACTCATCTCCAAAGACACCGACACGGTCGACGAAGCGTGGGGCAAGCTCGAGGAGATCCGCGAAAATGGCGAGGTGGTCGACCCTGTTGCACTCAACGTCGTCATCCAGGCCGCCGTTGCACTCAAGGACCTCCAGCGCGCTGTCGGCACCTACAAGGCCGCGGCGCAAGTGGGAGTGAAGCCCAACATCGACACGTTCAACCTGCTTCTTGAGGGCTGCATCTACGCGCGCCATCGCCAACTTGGGGACCGGCTTCTGTCGGACTTGAAGAACATGGGGGTCAAGGCAGACGTGACGACGTACAAGCACATGGTGCTGCTGTGCCTGACGCAAACGACGTACGAGGACGCGTTCTTCTACCTGGAGGAGATGAAGGCGCTCCGGATGGTCCCCCCTCTCGCGGTCTACGAGGCTATCATCCGCAAGCTCGTCTCTGTCGGCGACACGCGGTACAAGGTTGCGCTCGAAGAGCTGAAGGAGTGCGGTTACGAGGTCTCGCCCAAGCTGGAGTCCTTCATTAGTTCAGGAGGCGCGCACAACGGGCCCACAAAAGAGAAGAAACCGGTCGTGAATCCCGCTGTCGTGCTGTAGAGTGGTGCCCCGGATGCTGCTGGGACGGGTTCCGCGCCCACGGGAGTGTGCATCTCATGTGCACGCTATGTTATGGATACACCGATGCTTATCATAATTAGCCGCCTTCTATTCTATGGCTTGGCGCTCCCAACCCATGTCCCATAGGCGGTGTGTACGCTCGCGCGAGGCTCGGCGGATGTCACACATGGCCCCACAACACCCACGCGCCATAGGATTCGTGCTTGATGGTAGGTCTCATCTGGACTGCAGATATACATTTTACACAGGAACAGGGATACGGAAACGACTATAAGCACAGACGTACATCTGCCGATCGCGCTGCGGACTCGGGACCGAAGCGGGGCTTCACAGCGACGTCGGAATTGGCACCGGCACGCCCACCTTGCTGTCCACATCGAGTGCCACGACAAACCGACTGACAAAGTTGTACCCACCCACCGTCGCGACGGCGTCAACCATCTGCTTATCGTTCAGGAACTTGTGCAGGCTGTTGAATACCGTCTGGGGCACTTGCACCGACTTTGTCATGAAGTCGGCGAAGACCATCGCTGCGTTCAGCTCAGGTGTGAGTGAGGTATTCGGAGTGTGCGCCGAGGCAAAGGCGGGCGTGAGCCGGATCTCGCGCAGCTGGATGAGGGTCAGGCCGACGCTCGCGCCGACCGGTTCGTGTTGAAGCCTGTCAGCCCGGAGATCATCAGCGAGGTCAGGAACAAGGAATCTCTTCCCTCGAGGTCGGGAAAGTAGGCATACCAAACGTAAGCTGCATTGTTCAGGACTCCTGTGCGCAGGATCTATCATTTACGCGCATGTCGATGCCCATTCCCTCCAGAATGGGTGAAGAAAGGTACGCACGAAAAGCTCCCGCATTGTTGCCGGAAGGGAATTGTTGTCGCGGATGACACCGAAGAAGTCATTCCAGCTGGATGCGACGCCCTCATCTTGGAGTCTACGAGACCCTTCAGCCGACAGCCCGTGCATCTGCTCCCGAGAGGACCTACAAGACTCCGTCTAGATCCAACAGCGTTCCATTGACGCGCCTCTGGCGGATAGCATCTGCGACCTGTTATCAGGCGTCAGTGCACTCGCATCCTTGGCGGAGCTGATTCGACCTACCGCATCCGTCCCGGGAGGAGGGAAGACGTACGGGACACGGGCTGGCAAGTTGTCATCCCGCTTCACAGCGATGCGCTCCGTGGCGATGACCACGTTCGCAAGCGCGGTGAAAACGAAGAACAAGAATGCGAGCCTAGTCGAGAGCATCTTTAGGGCGACCGTTGCAGGCTGTTGCAGCTCGAGACTTGCTGTCCTGCTCCCCTTGAGAAGCGGGGTCTTTATATCCTTCCTACCGGTTGCTCATGCACGTCGTTGTGCATCTGATGGTGGCCTTATTTCAACGCAATTTCCCATGGCAGGGGGGCCCGAGGTCTTCCGAGGCTCGGCGTGTGACCTAAGTCAGCACATATGTCGGTGTTCGGTGCTTGGGAAAGCGCGACGTGTAGCATGCGACTATCATGATGGGATTCTCTACGGCTTAGTGACCGCGACCGAGCTTGACGGGAGTATTTCGTCATGTCAATTTCCAAACCTACAAGATAGGACGAGTATGATGGTCGCATGCCCCAAAAGTGCCGTTGTGTTCCTTCTTGGAGAATGGGAGGTTGAGTTCAATTCACTGGCTGGGGAACATGAGACAGGCTTGCGAGTGGCGCGATGTTAGCGCGCATCGACATCACGATGGTTTGCATCTTCACCACCAACCGTGAGTGGCATTCTCGGCGCTCGCGATTCTGAGGAATCAGGAGGTTGTGATGATATAGCGCACCCGGATGTGTTGATGCCTGCGAGTACTAAGAGTACGTGATCAGAATAGGTCAATGTTGCATGGGCGCTGTTTGGGGACCTGAACCTCATGGAACGTTGTGTTTTCAGGTCGCGGTGGACAGACAGCGGACATTGCCAAATATCGGGACTCAGGAAGAAATGGAAGTGAGGTCTCGCTTCCCTGAGTGAGTGCACGTGGCTCATCCGTGTTTGGTCTCATGGCATGTCTGGCTACAGCCTCGCGTCCACTGCATGTCCTCGACTCCCGCGTGAGTGTCGTGGCACTGACCTGACGCCCTCAATACTCTATTTGACCCAAATTCACTGCAATTCGAAGTTGTGAATGAAACTAGATCATTCGACATCATGACGCATTTGTCGATCTGCTCACTTTCCACCCCTCGTGGTAGTCCTGTGCATACTCCAGACACCTTTGCGCCAGCGACATCTATCGTTGTGGTCGGTTCTCGTGCTGAACAAGGTCCTGAACAACCAGATATGACTACAGCTTACCAGAACAATAACGTAGTCAATCGCCTTCACTCCTTCGCTCGCCCGCGTTCTGACTCGTCAGCTGTATAGGCTAGTTTGTCCCTGGCGGGTTCTTCAACTGGTCTCTCGCACGCGTCAAGCCATGCTCGTTCTCTCAGTGTCTTTCCATCACGCTCCTATTCCTGCTGCTCCGACTCGGGCGAACACACCGATCCAACAAAGACTTCCGGCGTGCATTAATGCGGCATCTTGCGAACCCTCCCATTACACATTTGGTCCCACGAGGCATCACGTTGGACGACGGAGTAATACACACATCGACATCGCGACATGGAACGTCGACTTCAAGGGCAAGTCACCGCCGCCGGTCGAGTGTCTTGCATACTCGTAACTCGACCAACTCAGAGACGTCACGTGCTCGTGAACGAGCTGCAGTCGACCGTCATCCTGCTACAGGAACTAAATCAGTTCAGCTTCGCTAGTGTCCTCGAGCACAGCTGGGTGCGAAAGCATTTCGCCATCACTCCCCCTGACACGAAGAGCTGGCCCTGGCCGCCCCTGTACGGCATCGCCACGCTTGTTCTTGCGCCAGCTTCAGGTCGACAACGCTCAGATGCTGCAGTTCCTGAAGACTGCCATGGGCCGCACTGCGGTGTTCTTCGACGTGTCGCCGCAGCCAGACGATGATCCAGACTTCTCTAAACATGTCGTCCGCATTGCGAACACTCACCTGGAGTCACTCTCGGACGAGGGGCGTTTTCGCCCGGTCCAACTGCGCGACTGAGGAGTGCACGCTGGGGTCTTGGGAGGCGACAAGAACATGGTCGGTCCTGCGGACCAAGACATACAAGTCGCCGCTGGGCTACGTGAGCGGGCACGGATGGGCCCGACTCGCTCACGTGGGGGTTTAACCTCGGTCAGGGCATTGGGCCCCCAAGAGGATGGACCGCGTATTTTACACTCGCTCTCCTGGGCTCGTCGTTGAGCGTGTGAAGGTGATCGGGAAGGGCCTGAAAACAGCAGACGGTCGATGGGCGAGCGACCACTACGGCGTTTTGACCGGGATCGATCTGCGACAGGCTGAGCCTGAGCAGTAGACTCTCCTCCCGGCGAGCGAGGATGGAGAGGACTCCAGTTCAATACTTTAGGTAATCGAGCCTAACGACCCGACCTGTCATGCAGGTCTGCACGCGATAAGCTTGAGGGGGTGACGACTCATAGTCGGCGCCAGGCTGGTACCATGGCTTCCGACCAGAAGGGGAGACTACTGGTACTCACATTTCACGCATCTCGCGCATATCACAAGCAAGCGGAACCGGGGCAAATGAGTATTCGAAATCCCCTTGACTGAAGGCCTGCGCCGCCGCATAACCTTTTGTCACCGAAGCTATTTATGCCAACGACACAATCTCAGAAGCTTATGACAGAATCAGAACGCATGGCTCTGTACTACACGGACACAGAAGGGTAACACCTAAGATTGACCGCCCGCACAACCTGCTACTATGTCACAGCGTTACGAAGCACGTGAGTAAGGCGTCAAACTAGTTAAGGCGATGAGTTAAGTCGACAAGTCCATAGAAATGTTGTACCGACGAGTCGACAGCAGATGGGAGGGAGGTATAAGGACGAATATAGAGGGGGATAGTATAGACAATAAGTGAGTGAATAAAGATGGGTATTCATACGAACACGCATGGAAAAGTGAGGTGTTAGTCCTCCGAAGCAATGCCTTCCCGGTCAAGCTCCTCAAGAATGTCGTTCGGGAGGACACGGTGGCTGTGATACTTCTTGGCTGCCCACGCCGCCTGCTTCCCATTGAGACCGCGACGATAGGCATCCATAAAGCGGTGGGCCCGGGTGTAGAACCTATGCCAAAAAAGGCTCGGTAA